AGGAATTTCTCTCACACTTCTTGTTCTCTGGGTAACGTACAGTTTCCGTAAAGAGACTGTTTGAAAGGTTTCGTTCCAAAGCGCCTTGTAGACCACGTTTAATTTTTTTTTTCGTGATATACGTTACTGAGAGTGAACTTTACACATACAAGAAACATCAGTTATACATTATGACTAGTACCACCTTTATTAGTGAAATAAAAACGTGTTTCCATTACTCGTCAGCTGTTATTCTTTTCAGAATCAAAATTGTCACAAATTGATATACAGCAGTTTGGAATGAAACATTTTCCAGCACGACCTTCTAATATTCATTTTCTCCTTCTTATAAAACCTAAAGTGAGCAAAGACAACCAAGAACACAACGGAAAACACAGCTAAGCGAGAACCATCTCCCTTATGTGAAACAAAAATAGCTCGGTTTTAAATATTTCTTTATGCCGAACGCCTTACCTTGCAGTTTGGCGGTGAAAAGGAGCGGGGGGTGTAATTTGAGATTATTTATACTGCCCTGCCTTCGCAAACAGCCAATCAGCGCACGGCAAGACGAACAACAGCGACAGACTGAGGAGACAGCGACCCGCACTCCACACGAGTTGGCATGGCAACGACTTTCACACCTAAAGCTACTCGAGTAAAAGTGCGGTGACTTTAGCGAAATAACGACATGTACATCTACCAAAACAGCTTGATGTATGAGGTAAAAAATATTGAGAGACGCCTATTGGAACTTAACCGAGCACATTCACCTTACGAAGTGAAGTTTTTAAGTACTGTTGTTCTCTTTCTGCGATACTTTTGGTGTAGAATAAAATGCCAGAGCTCGAACATGAGAGGTCTGAGCAACAGGATAGCAGTCCAGGTGCTGTAAACAGCAGAAATGAAATGAAATACGAAGAGCTAAAAGAGAATGAGTCAAATATAAGAGCAGATTATCTATATTTCCGCAGTAAAAAGTACATTTCCCTCATAAGTATACTTGCACATACATACAAAATGATAAGTTCAGCAAAACTGTATGAAAATGAACTATTTACTCTTTATATTGCATAAGGGATAATGTAATATAGCGTAATGTTTTATGTGGTCTGCTTGCTGCCCTCGAGCTCCAGTGTCTGCGACTGAAAGCTCGTTATCAGCAGTTCGGAACAATGAACAGGACATCAAAGCTGATCAGCGCACAGGATTACATTTTAGCACTAAGTGGAAAAGCGAGGAAACTGCCGTGATTTGCACATTTGCATAAAATGCCATTTGTAGCATTGGTGCAGCCAAGTGGAGCATGGAGACAAATCCCCAACTTCCAAAGACAACCACACAGAATAGGCTACATCAACAACAGTATCCCCTCAGTCAGCGCACAGCTCCCTATGCAGACCCCCCATACACGGGTTCCTGGAATCATGACGCACAGACGGGTCTTTTTTAACCCCTCCTGCTGAAGTTACGCCCACCGTGCCACCTCACAGCCAAACGTTCCGTCTCAATATACTGAGGCGAAGCCTAATCTACACTTTGATTTATCTTTTATAACTGAATCTGAACCCGAGGAAGTTCAGCGAGAGGATAAAAATGCAACATGCATTCAGCAAAAGCGCGGACTGGCTGGACACAACCAGCTACTGTCCCTATAAAGGCCACGAGGAAACACACGGTTTTGTTCCGACAGCAACGCTGTATCTCCATTGCTGTCGTTTTTCATTTGTTGACATAAAAAATATAAAGATAAGAATAAAAATATCAACTGTTCTTATATAAAAATTCGTGATGTTTGCGCCAAGAGAAACGGTGCAGAATTATTTGTGATAAAATATATTTACATTCACTCATTATAAAAAAATCAGGTTTTTTTCCCTCTCCTGTGAAGTTACCACTTTGGAGATGCGAGGTTTTCCAACAGCAACGACAAGAAAAAAAAATGAGCTGAAAAACGAAGCTACCATCATGCAAATGTGGGGACATACATTGAAATCCTGAGATCCTGAAATATCTATCCGCATCTCAAGCAGTGCAGGACACACGAGATCAAAACGTGGCACCAACGCCTTCGTAGCACCAACGACGTTAAGAAGGATAGATTTCGACAAATGAGACTCACCAATAATAAATACTTCAGCTAATAAAATTGGAGTTGTCTCTGTCAGGTACAGGATGCTCTCTCGCGCTGCTCCTTTAACTGGATTTTGTCCCACTGACTCGGTATCTCCACAATTGCATCAGCTCTTAGTCGAGGTTATATATCAGCAGACAGCTGCTTTCAAGAGAAGCCGGTTCTCGCTCTGATTGGCAGACGCGCGGAGGTGCGGTCTCCGGCCCTAGCCACGCCTCCTTTACGTCAGTGAAATGTCTGCGTGCTGCAGGGCCAAGTCAGAAAGCACTGAGGCCCACATGTGCTCGATCTCTCTCTCCCACACATACACGTACACCGTGTGGCCTAGTCAACCGAGCCTCAACGCTTTTAAAAACACCACAGGTTGCCAGATTTGTTTAGGGTTCAAGGCAATATGAAACTGGGATTTCAGCACTATTGACCAAAACGGTTTTGGACACTGCTCTTTTTTGTTTGTTTGTTTTGTTTGTTTTCTTTTTTTTACTAATTTTGAATCATTTCTCATTTCTTAACCATATTATTTCAGTTTATTGGCATCCTACTGGGTTAGTGGTTCTGAAACCAGGGAGGGCACAGGGAAACCGAAATCATGACATGTCTTTAATGACAGACTTTTACTTGCACAAAATGTCTGAAATCAGTCTGAAAAATTCTTGTGCGTCATGAGGCATGTCATGACACCATTTCCTAATTTGTGAAACAGGTTTGTTTTAGGATAGATGTGACTTCCAAGCAGGGCAGCCCTAGAATGATTAAGCGTATTTGTTCGAAAAGGGCCCCTCTGAGTTATCAGAGCTGAAAAAATAAAACTTACTGTTAATGACTCCCCTGAAAAAAGAAAACAAACTAGGTAATGACCTACTCAAAGTGACACTGTGAGGCACAAACAAGGCGTATCAGAGGGGTTATTATTGGTCATTTCCTTCTTGAGGTCAACATTTGGTATGTAGGGTACCCTGGTATGTAGGGTAAGAGTTTTCAACATGCTCGTATTTGAAAACTACTTGATAATTTGAATAAGCACCTCTACACTCTCAGAAAAAAAGGTATGAAACTATCACTGGGGTGGCACCTTCAAGGGTACATCTCGGTACCTTTAGTCAGGGAACATAATTGTACCATAATCCATTGAAATATGTTTTCTAAGTTGTATTGACTCCATATACATCCACCTCTTCTCCAGACTTTTTATTTTATTGTTTTGTTTTAAAACATTAGGTAATGAAAAGATACAAGTACGTACTTTTCACCTGGAAAAACCTATTTAAGGTCTACAGTTGGACCTTAAAACCACTGTTGTACCTTTAAGGGAACATTTACATTGTTTGTACCTTGATGAACAAAATTGTATTATTTCTGACACTGTACTTAAGAAAAGTCTTATCTGGTTATTTTTACCACTTCATTATTGTAAAGTTGTTAAGAGTTAGTAAATGTTAAGTAAATAAGAGGGAAGTGAAAAAGTTGTTTAAAAGATTTGTCTGTGCAATCTCAAGTAAATAGCCGAGTGGTCAGACGCCTTGAGGAGATAAACTTGTGCCAGAGATATGGCCACGTGGGAGATTGGGCGAGAGACAGTGCGAAACGTGAGCACATGCACAACCCAAAATGGTTCCACACTCCGCTGGATCTCTTCCCCCCACCCCTCAGGATAAAACGCAAAGCCTCTCTTTGTGCAAGGCGGAAGCTGAAAAGTACACGAATGTCCATGTGTTATTGCAGTGAACTACTTGCCCACTCCACAGATTCAATGTCCAGTTATGTTTGGCCAAGTTTCATGTAAAGTTTCAAATCATATACAAAGCAGAGCTCACAACATATACTACTGTTAAAAGATCTTCATTTAGGCTCTTTAAGTTCCAGTCAAAATAGACATTAAGTTCAATTTATTAATTTTTCTGTATGAGAAGAACAAAAGCACAAAACCTATAACAGAAAACTACAAAGAAGCCCAAAAAACAAATTCTAAATTTTCAGCATTCAGTGTGTCCTCTTTTTGCGTTTATTACCGTTTCAATTCTTTTCCTGATGTTTTCAAAAGAAATCTGCAGGGAACCTCCAAAGTTCAGTCTTAGAAGTTGGTTGCAATTTCTGCTTCTCATGATCCTAATATTCCCAAACACATTCAGTGATGTTGAGGTCTGGACTCCGGGGTGGTCAGTACATTGTACTGAGAACACCAGTGGCTTCTTTTTTTTAATTTTTTTATTTGCAAATTGTCGCTGTCTAAAACCATTTTTTTTTTCAAAACCATTTGAGCACAGCAGCTTCTTTTTACATTTACATTATGAGAAATTTTTATAAAGAATGGACAAACAGAAATGCTCCAAAACTGCTTGGAATAAATTGCAAAATCATTATTCTTTATTTTGCATTAAAAGTAAACTTTTTTTCTTTCTCCTACAAAGTTACGATTTTGGAGATTTTAGTTTTCTTCTCACAGTGGGAGGATGGACAGAAACCCCTGTGGATTTTTTCAGATCTGAAATAAGAGTGGAGCTATATGTTCTTATGTCTCAAAGAAGAAAGCTGCTTATCTGATGGTGACAGGTATTGGTGGTCTAACAGGTCTCCTTAGCAATATCTCTTGATACATGAATAAGTAGCACACACTGGCCAATTTGATCGGAAATAAAATAAGTGAAGGGTGACATATACTTACGCCCAGTGACTGCTGGGATAGGCTTTTGCACAGTACTGTAGTTACTGTTTAAACCATTTATATCACCTTTTGTTACAGCAGTTACAGCAAGTAGTATATATATATATATATATATATATATATATATATATATATATATATATATATATATATATATATATATACATATACACACACACACACACACACACACACACACACACACAGATATAATTGCACTTAAAATACTGATGTTATAACTGGTTTTTATTAACGGACTGTTGAAGTAAAGTGTGCATGAACACAACATTCACTTTTAATGCCCACAGAACAAAATCAAAACATAACTTCAAAATGATATTAAAAAAATCTATATAATCTGCATTATGTTTTAGACAAATAAAAACAATGAAAAAAGGTACAAAAAAGCAGATTTCACTTTCTCAGAAAAGCATCACACAGAGATATCTAAGATAATCATAAAGTGACAAATGGCACGTCTGTCAGGAATGCTTAAAGGATTGACTACTTGAAATAAAGGATATTTTGAGCAAACAGTGCACACATACAGTACATAATATTTGGTTAACATGCTTTCTTGGGTGCCATTCTCATTAATTACATCTAAAATACTATCAATAAAGAGTCAATCCATATGCTTACTCTGTAGGGATTTAAAAAAAAGTCTATAGTCAATTTAATGAGGAAATGTAGTGCCACACGATGAGGCTTTTCATACTTACTGAAAATATGAAAAGTGACAGCAAGGACCCTTAACTTGTAGGGTATAAGGAAAACAGCCTGAATAAATGCAGTTTACTTGGATCCTTAGTTTGAGGGTCCCTTACTTAATTTAGTCTGTGCAACTAATATGTTTAAATAAGCACAGAATACATACACAAACACCGTCCCTACGACCGACCAGCGCTATATTTAAAACAAACTTCGAGGCTTTAAGGGGTTTCTCAGAACAATTCTAATAAACCTTTGTTAAACCAAGATTACCACACAGAACAATCATTCATGTAGCATCATTTACACTTTTGGGAACCTCACCCTACTAGGTATTCAGACCAGTCAGTTTATGCTTAACATCCAAAATGTACTTGGACACATTCAAGAATGTAAACGTATGCTGTTTGTCAATAATGCAACTACAAAACACCAGAGAAAACACTGAAATACAGGCCTGCAGAATGTGTAAATGTGAAATATATGGATCCAAAAGCCTGCTTTACCCTACTACAGATAAACCCATTACTTGGTCTTGAACTAAAGGATCTATCTGAGTGAATGCACAGCTACGTGATAAGAAAGGATGAGAACATAGTAACATTTGTTTCATGAGAACAGTGCTGATTTTCTGGGCTTGGTGGCATATTTAGAATGAGTCTTCATGTATACCTTCCATCAGCATCAAAGTACAGTTTTTAATTCTGCTTCATATTCTAGATAGAGAGAAGGAAAGTATTCTGTACACAGCATATACACATTCAAAAAGGCTATAATCAACCTTTTGTAGGTTAAAGTCATTCCAGAATGAGAGACACTGTATAGAAACACTGAGCAAAACCTCATAACCAACTTGTACTAAAATGAGGCATCCTACGCACAGATACACATTAAAATTAAAATTAAACTACATATTATTAGATTCTCTTTGTAAAGGGAACCTTGACTATTAAGACATGTATGCCTTGAAACAGTGTACGTCTACTAGTAGATCACCACTGTCACACTGACATGATGTCATCTGGCCTATAGAAAACAAGACAATTGGAAGGTTTTTCTCTTCCGTACTGTCACACTCCAGCTAAAGTCAGAAAGATTGAAAGATATATTTGAGTTAAATTAGATATTTTACTTATTGTTTCTTGATCAGTTGACAAGAGAGAACAGCCATTTGATTTTATGCTGCCTAAAAATTGCAACCTAGTACAGAAATTCTGTCTATTATTAATACAAAACAAAGTATTTTGCTTAGTTTGTACAACATATTTTAGCAGTGGGAGGGGAGGGTCAACTCTAGCATGTGCTCCCTCCATGTCATATGTAGCTACCACCATATCTTTTCAAACTGCTGCTAATGTAAAATCATTAGACAGTTCAACACACTTGGAGGAGAATGCTAACTGCCAATTCTGTTATGTCAGATAACAGATGCCTGTGTCAGCTTGTATCACGCTGATTGATGGGGAGAGGGGGAGGACTATCCTACCCACCCAGAAAGAGCAAGGCCATCCTACCCACCCAGAGAACTCACAGCCATCGCCGAACACTGAATTTGCAATCTCCCTAAGATAGGGCCAACCCAGCTGTGCCACTTGAGAGCCCTAGATTTTTAACTCTAAACAGGGTTTAACTTGCATATCAGCAGCAAACAGAGCACGCTGTATGTTCATACTGAGCTCAGCAAAGTTCTACATACCAGTATGGGGAGAATTCCTCACTGAGAAAAGAACAATGTTTGTATTAGTTGCGGTTGGTGTTTTTCTTAAACAAGTCAAGAGTGAAGAGTTTGTGATATTGCACTGCTTTTGAACCACAGCCTGCAAAAGTAACAGGCATGTCCGTATTACCTACTCAAACTCAAGGTCATACCTTTTCCCTTTTAAAAGACTTTTCGTTACACTGTACACTGTCTCTCAGGAAGTGGAAACAATGGCACAGTTTAGTGCAGGCACCTATATAACCACTGCTACTCACTAAACATCAAGCAAGTAGCAGCTAATTTTTTTTAAAGCAATAACATTTAGTGTGCTCAAGAGGCATGAATATATATAATAGTGTTAGTATAAAGTACAGATTTGTTTGATAGTCAGAGAGCAACTGCAGTGGCACAGTACCAGAACTAATCGATTAGCCTCAGCAGAGTGAAGGCCAAATGCAAGGGCAAGAACTACAGGTGAAACAAGACCACAGATAAGCAATACAGCAACTGAGAAACACATGGGAAAAAGTGAGATTCTAAGAAAGCAGAAGTAATGACTGAAGAGGCTTAGATGGAGTAATCAGACAGAGTAATCTCAGTAGTGCTGAAGAGGAACTTCAAAGAGTACCACTCTTGTGAAATTTCTCAGTATGGAACTGAATGTCTTATGGAGTCTGCAAAGGGCTGTCCTCTGTCTCCAGCTGAGCCAGCTGTCTTCTTAGGCTGTTTACTTTATTCTGTAGCTCCTTATTGTATTCAATAATATGAACCATCTCCTCATAAGCCTCATCCAGAAACTTGGTGGAGCGATTCCAGCGTAGGAAGACACCTACGAGAGAGTAAGAAAAAGTAAATAGACTAGTGAAATAACAAAGGTTTATAAAAGGTTGAACAGACATTCTCATCATGAATTTGTTTTATATTTGCTTTCTCACATCCAAACCTATTTTTTATTTATACTACTTTAAAAAGGACCAGCTGCCTCTTATAATGCATGAACATTTAATCACAAATGGGCCACTAAAAAACAAATGTATAAATAAAAAATTTCAAAGAAATTTTAAATATATTAAGTAATATGAATGTGTGTTAAAGATTCAAATTTACATGTATGTATATTAAACTTATTTTTTTTCTTATCCTATAAAAACCATTTTAAAAACCATTTCAGAGATACTAGATTTTTGTAAGACCAGCAACAGCAATACGCTGTACATGACTGACATATATTCCTATGAAAAACACCCACATTTCAGGTACACAGAGATACACAGACCAGCCTCAAATACAAACGTGAGACCAAAACTGAATGCTGCATGAGTAAACAGCTACTATGTTATGCCAGGAGATTCACATATCAAAATGCCATCGACACAAATAAGCATGTGACCAGTCTCGTGGTGCTAACTCAGTTTACGCCAATCACTAGTCTCGTGAATGCCCTGCAAAACCCATCATGCCCTTTGGGTAACATGAGAAATGTACTGCATGGTCCGCATTACTAGCTGCTCTCTTGTTACACCATTGTTTCCAGTGAGGCAAATGGGTCATATTACTGTTCCTGCTCTTCAGTAATAAACAGCACTAGATGTTTTAAGTCTTCTATACATTATTTCAACATCATTAAAAATATCCTAAAAGACACAGAACATCAAATAATCACATCAAACCAACATAGGAATGGTGGGCCGATGCCAAGATATTTACTTTTTTTTTTTCAAGAATAAACACTATATGGACAAAAGTATTGGGACACACCTCTTAATCATTGAATTCAGGTGTTTCATTTAGGCCCATTGTCACATGTGTATAAACTCAAATACCTAGCCATGCAGTCTGCCTTTACAAACATTTGTTAAAGAATGGGTCGTTCTACAGAGCTCACTGAATTTGAGCATGGTACTGTTGCAAGTCAGTTCGTGAAATCTGTTCCCTTCTAGATATTCCACGATCAATTATAAGTGGTATTATTGACCAGAGGAAGCATTTAGGAACCACAGCAACTCAGCCACAAAGTTTCAGACCACATAAAGTTACACAGCGGGTCGCTCTGCTGACTCAGTAACTGCAGAGTTTCAAAACTCCTGTGGCATTAATATCAGCACAAAAACTGTGTGCCAGGAGCTTCATGGCATGGATTTCCATGGCCAAGCAGCTGCATGCAAGCCTTACTTTGCAGCCAGGCGTTGGACGGAGTGGTGTAAAGCAGGCCGCCACTGGACTCTAGAGCAGTGGAAACGTATTCTGTGAAGAATCACGCTTCTCTATCTGGCAGTCTGATGGACGAGTCTGGGTTTGTTGAATGCCAGGAGAACGTTACCTGCCTGACTGCATTGTTCCAACTGTAAAGCTTGGTGGAGGATGGATAACGCTATGGGGTTGTTTTTCAGGGCTTGGCTAGGGACCTTAGTTCCAGTGAAGAGAAATCTTAATGCTTCAGCAGACCAAGACATTTTGAACAATTGTATGCTTCCAACTTTGTGGGAACAGTTTGGGGAAAGCGCTATTCTGTTCCAACATGACTGAGCCCCAGTGCACAAAGCAAGGTCCATACAGGCATGACTGGGTGAGTTTGGTGTGGAAGAACTTGACTGGCCTACACAGAGCCCTGACCTCAACCCCATCAAACACTTTGGGATGAACTACAACAGAGATTGCGAGCCAGACCCTCTCATCCAACATCAGTGTCTCACCTCACAAATGCTCTTCTGGACGAATGGACAAAAATTCCCCACAGACACACTCCAAAATCTTGTAGAAAGCTTCCCTAGAAAAGTGGAAGCTGTTATCGCTACAAAGGGAAGACCAACTCCATATTAATGCCTATGGATTTAGAATGGGATATCATAAAAGCGCCGGTAGGTGTAATGTGTAGGTGTCCCAATACTTTTGTCCATATAGTGTATCTACCGATGTCAATACCAATAATATTTATAAAATGTAAAATCTGGGACTAGATCCACCTGGATTAGCATTTTTAAGAGATTTAAAATATATAAAATACAGACATTTCTGTGTAGCTACCTAAACATTCTGCTCTTCTCAAGTACAATAAATAAATTATCAAGTATTGGTTTAAAATACTGATCAAATCTGAAACAAAAAATCTGTCTGATACAGACAAATTTTTAGGGTGAGAAACTGATATGATCCAGATATCTTCATGAATCACTGTTTCCTGTGACACCAGCGCTCTTGATAGAGCAGCTTAACATTATCTTTTGGGATCTTTTGAGACATCTGAGAAAAGTATATCACATTGACCTCTACACATACTGATGCAGACCTTGCCTCATTATAACTACCAGATACTGCCTTTGTTACAAACTCTACAGTTCGATTTTGCGTAAAGTTCATCACTGCCTTGAAGTGCCAAATGTGTGTGACTTCTATTTGGAGAAGAATGAGGAATGCTCAGCCTTCAAACACACTTTCTCGATGCTTACAGTAGGTGGGGAATGTAACCTCTAGGTTTAAAGTCGTCTGTGAGTGGGCTGCAAACTGTTTCAGTGACTAAATACCTCTTGAACTCAGTGACCACTGAAGCTATGCACCTGACACAGAAACATTCACTATGGGGAAAATCGTGTTTCTCCTGGAATAAAACGTAAACAAAATTTGAGCGAAAGCTTAATGATTAATATTAAGCTTAGTGATTAATATCACTAGACAAACAACTAATAATTTAATCCACCTTTAATCACACTCTGCACAGCCAGAAAATAATTTAAAGAGCACTGCAGGTGAGCCAGTGCCCTATGTCACAACCTATGCTTTTTTTATATACTTTATACTCTTAAAAAAGTCTTGCTTATCTAAAAGTTTCTTCTGGCACTTCATAAAATGCTGCTATCTTTATAAAAAAAAAACAAAATTGTTTATTTAAAAATCTGAAGTCCTTTCTACACAATGGACACTAAAGTATTTGATAGTTAACTTTAAATAAGAAACAATGCTAGCCAACCCAGTTATGCCCGTGGCTTTGTTCCCATATGAACAACCTAAAATAACCCTGCTTAAGAACAGTGCGGTAATCCCAACTACTGTGTTCATAAAAAACAAAATGTCCATAGGAACGTACAACAAACATAAACATGTGTTACCCTGGGAATCCTGCTGATTTATTTTCTAGGAAGTTAAACAAGCTAAAACAGAACAAGAATGTAGTGGTCAGCCATGAACCGTAAAGCCTTCATGAAGTAAAAAAAATGTTTTAAATTGCTTGAAATTAACTTTGGGTCAGTAATTTCTGCAATTCTAACATGCATACACTAATATTCTTACATTTATAGTACATAAACCGAGTCTACATAAGGTGATCAGCTGCATGGTATTGTAAGTGCACTTAAAGACACTGCACTGTAGTCGCACTGCTGCCCCCTAAAGGTTATACAAGAAACGACTGCACATTAAAGACTTTTCTTCTAACATTTCTGTCAAGGACTTTAAAACAAGTAGAGTTTCTTAGAACAAGGAAAAATAACACTTAAGTTATATTTCAAGATCAGGACCAAACAGAAGAGAAATAGTAAGGTGTTGTTACAAGGGATGCAAACAGAAAGTAAAACCGGTAAATCTGCTGATGTCATAGCGCGGAGGTAAACATCAATAATGTGCCCCAAGCCCCACATTATATAATTAACTCAGCGACAAGGTCTCAATATGCAGGTCTTTGAATATTATTTTTCATGTTTTCATTGCCGTGGGTTTGCACTGAACAGGACTGCGGCAACAAAGGGAGCTTCAGGTTTCCCAAAATACAGAAGATAACTAGATCTGTATTTAGTTATTACTTGTCTAGCCATGCAAGCCAGGCTACTGCCTATCATCAGAGAGTCTAGGAGAATTTTGCTGCTAAATGTGACCAAAAAACTTCAGTAATCCCAAATTAAAATTAGAGCATTCCAGCAGCATGCAAGACAAACACAGAATACACACGTAAGGTACAAACAATAAAATAAAATAATGAAAAGCATAGCATGAAATATTACACAAATATTAGACAATACTTGAGTATAGTATACTCAATTGAAGGTACTGTTGAAGGTACTTTTAGAGCTAGTGTTACAGTGCTATAATGACTGTAATCCACATATGAGGTAGTTTACAATTGCAGTATTGTTGCACAGTAATAAAGAACTCTATGCAGTACTGCTGTAAAAATACCACGTTGTGCAAAACAGCACGACCAGTGCAGAACAAGCAGTAATAATGTGCAGTAATGTGCAGATGATACAGAGATGTACAATGATGCATGAGGAATAGATGAATTAGAGTGCAGAGCTGTACAGTCTGATGGCTGCAGAAAGAAATTACCTGTGAATGCAACCCCTCCTCCAGTGAGGCTGGAGCAGTCTGCTGCTCACTGTATTCCTCTGTCCCTGTAGTGTTTTGTGGAGTGGGTGGGAGGGGTTCTTCATGATCACCGACACCTTTTGCAAACATCCTCCTCCCGACCACCATCTCCACTAAGTGCAATTTAGCCCCTAGGACTGAGCTAACCTTCCTGGTGATATTGTTCCTTCTGTCAGTGCCCTACTGCTGCCCCAGCACACAACAGCATAAATGATGGCACTTGACACCACAGACTCAGCAACTGGCCTTTCACACCAAAGAACCTCAGCCTCCTCAGAAAGTAAAGCTGGCTCTGGCCCTTCTTGTACTGCTTGTCCATGTTTACTTCCCATCCCAACTTGTCTCACAGATGATCATCCAGGTACCTGTATGAGTTAATCACTCACACTGGATAGTGACAGAGGAGACTTAATTCAGAGACTTAATTTTTCAGAAGTCCACAACAAGCTCCTTTGTCTTCTTTGTGTTTAGTTGGAGGTGGATGTGCTGACACCAGACTAAAAAGCTGTTCACTAAACTGTACTCATCCTCCTCTTCTCTGCTTAATACATGCCACAACAACAGTTTCATCCAAGAACATTTGTAACTGACACAAGTCATATGTGAAATCGGAGGTGTAGGAAGTGCAAAGGAAGGAAGCAAGAACAGTCTCCTGTGGAGTCCCTGTACTGGTTACAGTCTGTGACACACTCTTCTGTAGCTGCACGTTCTGGGGCCTGCCAGTCAGAGAGTTGATGATCCACAATGCCAGGGCAGTGTCCGCCTGTGCTGCACTCAGCTTGTCCCTCAGCAGGACGGCCTGGATGGTGTTGAATACGTCAAAGAACATGACTCCCACAGGCTTCCTGCCATATCCAGGTGTGAGTAAGCTCTGTGTCATAGGTAGATCACAGCATTCTCAACCCCCACATGCAGCCAGTAGGCAAACTATAAGGGGTCCAAAGCCGCACTCATATGTGTCCTGAGGTGAACCAGGGCAAGCCTCTCCAGTGACTTCATTAAATGTGACATCAGCATTACACAGGATTCAACTTTTCCATAAAAAATTCCACCAAAAAATTAATTTCCATGACAAAAACTGTCCATAGTGCTGGGCGATACATCACATATACCATAATACTGACATACTATCTTCTATTTTAGTGATATTGTTAGAAATATATTTGATAGATGAGGATCATTTAATTTTGTGGTTGCCTCAGTAAGAGGTTTACACAGAGATCTCAGGTGCACCGGGTTGTGGTCTGAGTTTCCCAGTGGAGGAAGTGCACTAGAGCTATATGCCTCATTGACATTAGCATATAGCAAGTCCAGTGTCCTATTTTCACTGGTGGGGCAGCTGACATACTGTTTGACATACTGGCACGATCAAAGTCTCCAGAGATGACAAACAGGGCTTGTGGGTGGCGGGTCTGTAAGTCCTCCTATCACGCTGCAAATGACATCACAAGTGGATACAGTGACGGGAGACAGTGGGATGTACACCACTAATGTGACCCAGGTTGCACCACTTGCTGGGCACAAACATTGCCAACCCACCTCCTCTCTTTTTCCTTCTCTGTTGCTCCAGTCTGCTCTCACCAACTGGAAGCCCGCAAAGTTAGCATTAGCATGAGAAATCAGTTTGTGTAGCCAGATCTCCATAAAGCACATAAACCTACACTCTCCCACTGGCTCTGATGCTGTTAGTTCATCCATTTTGAGAGGGATCTCAAATTGCTTATTATTACAGATAGTACTGTAGGTTTGTATCTTTTCTGCTTTTCCTGTTGCTTTGCTCCAGCTCTGCACCCCCAGAATGGCTTGCGGATTTCCTGTGGGATGATGGGCCTCTGGTCCAGATGCACTGGTTATCTTCGCAGCGCAAGCAGCTGCTCCTCGATATGAACAAAGCTATGTGTCACCAGTGTGTACTCCGCAGCTCCGCAAAGTGTGTTAGCAACCATTATTAACAAATCCAGGCGCAGTGTTCTAGCGAAGTGTTACAGTGAATGCGACGTTATAGTGTCGGGACAGTAATAAACATAAAGAAAAACCAAACAAACATGAGGGTTGACGAAGCCGCTGCAACAGGCTGCCGCTAGCATGGCGCCATCTTGGGCAAATGCGTTGGCAAACTCATGAGGATATCGTGCTTAAAAGCTACTTAATATTTCAAAGAAAACTCTTGAATAACTTTTAAAGATTCAATGCCATGACCTGTTTTTTCACTCTGAAAGGCTCAGTCACAGCACATAGAGCCGGCAACTGCTTGCATTTGTGCATTTCCCACTGGAAAGATACAACCCACTACACTGAATTGCACCCACAAGGCTGTGTGGGTAGCTAATTAGAATGTAACTGGCAAAAACCCTAATAGTTGAGGCTAACATAAAGGGGAATTCCACCAATTTTTCAAACTTTCTGAATAATTCAGTCCTTGAGATGTCAACAGATTCATCCAGTGTGGTTTAATGTGAAGTGGTTCACCTGTAGAGAAACTTAAAGAACCAGGGGTCATGATGTCCACAGTACAAACATAGCCATCTACTGTCCAAGACCACCAGTGAAACCATGTGTGTCTTCTGAGTTTTACATGTAAATGTTGATGATGGTAAAATAGTCAGAAAAAATAGGGCTTGTTTGGGGACTATTTTGCCTCACAATGTCAATACATGCATCCCTCAGCTACAAATGGATTAAAATAAATGGATTCAAATACATTTTAAGCCAAAACTTTATCACAAAAGTATTATAAAACAACGTGTCAGACATTAGGCAGTGGATATTTAACTATTTCATTTAATAACTTTCTGTGATAAAGCTTTCAAAAGCGTTAAACTCTTCAGAGTCTGGTTTGTATCACCACCACTGTGAACAATTCTGATTCTGTAAGTTTCTCTAGAACAGAGCATTTCACACCAAATCACTCTGAATGACTTTGTTCATATCTCAACCATTTACTTATGTAGAATTTTTCAAAAATTGGTGGAGGTCCCCTTTAACATGCAAGACAGATGGAGATAAGAAACTGTCAGACACATGTAGCAGTATAAGACAGCTGGGCTATGTGGGTTAGGTGATGGAAGTAGATAAGTCTGGTTCTCACCCTCCCACAAAAGCAGACTCTGCGGGGCTACAGAGGGCCAAATCACCAGGCTGTTGGGCTCATACAGTGGGTTAACGAAGCGCTCCAGCTCCTGAGGCCTGTTCACCCACGACCACAGAGACACTGTCTTCCGAGACAACTTCAGCTTCACCCTGGCTCGCCAAACAGATTGTACACAGATACATATTATTACACATGCAAATACCATCTGCTAGCTTTTTGAAGAAGATATACACTGCCTGTCAAAAGTTTGGGGACACCTTGCCTTTCTTTGAAATGAGATTTTTCCTGCTTTTCTAAGTACAAAAAAAAGCTTTCACATAAAACATTTATTTACTATTGCATAGGAATTTTTTGGCAACACTCACCTTCATGTTTATCAAAGTGTCTTTCTTGCATATGAAGATATGATTGTTGTGCTACTATGAGATCATAAGTTACAGCAATAAAAAAGAAAAAGCAATAGAGACAGGATATGTCACATTACAGAGACACTATACATAACAGTAGAAGTAACTGGTCAGACTCTCCAGCACATGTTCAGACATTTGAAGGAGTGAGCCACTGACCTTTCAGCGGCACTGATTCCCAGAAACGTGCCGAACTGGGATGCATAGGCGTGTTCAAAAAGCGTGACCAGGAAGTGCTCATTGAACTGGAAGGAGCAGGGGAACTGGCGCAGAATCTGCCACACACAGTCCAGGAACAGCAAGAACACCGGGGCCTCGCTCCGTGGCTTCCCATTGGAATAGGCAGACTGCGCAGAGCGCTGCTGGAACGGGTGACCTGCCTATAGTCAGCGGCAAACGTTAAAGACTACTCAATGTTACATCAGACAGTGTTACATCAGACAGTACTAAGCACTATGTAAAAACACAGTGCTTAATTGTGTTCCATGGTAAGTCTACACCAGTGTTCAAAAGTTCAAAATCACATTCAAAAGTTTGGAATAAATGTTTTCAATAATATAAATTATGCAATTATGCCAGTGCAACTTTGCAAGTTTCAAATAGTTACAAGAAAAAAAGGAAACATTTTTTTAAATGTGAACAAAACGATAAATGGAGATGCAGATTTTTATACTTAATAACTTCTTCTTGTCCCCAAAATACTTAAAATATCAAATCATGTCAGTGTTACGTTTTATCTGAATTACCCTTGTTCTCAAGTTTATGTTTAAATAGATATTGTATAAATTATTATTGTGTACTAACCTTTTTTGTGTGATTCCATGTTTTTTTTTGAAGACAAAGCTCCAAAATATTAATATCAAATGCAGTAGGCAAAGAACAAAAAAATGGATTGATTCTAACCTTTTGAATGGTAGTCTGTGGACTATGACACTTGACTATCGCCTCGCTATTTTCTTCACTGCGGATGAGCAAAACTCAGGCAAGTATGGGCGTCCCTGATGCAATATAGTTACAGTTTGATGAACTATTTGTTTTTTGGAAGCTGTGAGTCACAAGTGATGTTGTGTTGACTGAGGAGCAGTTTCTCCATTTTGTTTTTGTTTTTTTGAGACACCACAGTTCGCCTTCTTATTTTTTATTAGTTCATATTTCTAAGGTTCACAAATAAGGTTGTTCTAATTTAACTCTGCTAAAGTAAAATTAACAACTACTGGAAACAAATTCCTTTGTCAAGTTCCTAAGTCTTTTCCCATTCAAGTGAACTGAACCCATGTTCAGTGTGACCACAGCTTGAGGCTTTATCTGAGTTTTAGCTCCAGCTTTATGTTTCCTTAAATGTGTTACTTGTTGCTAAACCTTAGACAAACAGCAGCTTCCTTCATTGACAAGAGATCAGTGAAGCGCTCTTCCTCACCTGGAGCCACTCTCGCTCCACCAGGGCTTGGAAGCCACGGATAGTCCGGCAGGCTGGCTCCAAGATGATCTGGGCCAGAGAGGTCACCTGCAGTGTGGAGTCAGTGCCCTCTGTCCCATGGACAAGTACTGATGCACCCTCTCTGGGGACACAGACATAACAAACAGAACCAAAGTCAACAAAACAAAGGACAGTTTCCATTGGGGCAATTGCACTGTCATTAGCTTGGCTGTGATTTACAGTTTAACTCAAGTTTAAACCTGATTGAGACATTGCTGTGTCCTTGAAAGCTCCAGTTTAAACTAAACCCAACTGCTGTATTATTGAGAAATCACACATCTGTCACTAGATGGTGTTGTATATCAGGTTTAACTGTGGTTTATCTTAAACCTGCTAAAGGCACGGTTTAACCATGATTTAAGGCAAGATTATCTATCTCAACAAGAATCGGGACACTCTGACCCTGGGCAGCATACAACAAAGTCAAATACTAAATAAGGAACACCTAATCAAAAACAAAACTAACCAAGACTAATCAAAGAGCTAACCAATCTAAAACAGCAAATATATCAAAGGTTATTTGGTAAATTCAATTTAACCAAAATGCAATAATAATCATCACTTTCAGAGGAGATTAATATTATACAAGAGACCATTTCTTCACTCCAGTTGAGTAACAGATAAGTCAGAACTTTGTGCTGAAACAGTAATACCACTAGATTAGAGACCATACATTGCTTAAAGTCTCTACAGCACTCATGAAGCAAAATTAATCCTCCAGCACGGTTAAAAATGTCACGAGCACACACAAGGACAACTCCATAAAAAACAAGCTAAATTAGCCCAAACCCACGACAAAGCAAAGAAATTAGCCCATATGTAAAGACCCAGCAGCACAAAGCACAGTAATGAGCTGTGTGCCAAAAGCAGGATGGGAGCACAGCAGTACCAGGGTTCCATGAACTTAATGATGATTGTAGGCTAGACAGCAGCTAGCAATTATCACTCAAATGGGCTTTGCAACAAGTGCAGCATGAAACAAGGCAATAACAGACTTGGCAATTAGCTCAAAATAGAACTACCAGTGAGAAAACAGTAATTAGCACAGTCATAAACTAGTTACATGCAGTTATGTTCTAAAATGAGTCTTAAGGTTTGAGCATGCATCCATACATACAGTCAGATGCAAAAGTATGTGCACCATCTGTCAAATAACGTATTGTTTATTTTTTAAGTGAAGGCAAGTCAACACATAGAACAACCTTAAATATGGCATTTTCTATTTATTTCTACTTATTAACTTCTATTTATTTTTGCTGAGTTTAATATATTTAAAAAAATAAAAAACAAGCCACTTTTGCACAGGTAACATTTTATGTTTTATTTGTTGTTTTCCTAATATGTTATATTTAGAGGTGTGCTCTCTGTGGAGGATGCGTATTTATTTATTTTCAAGTTGTATTCCCCATCAAGAAAGAATTCAAGTTGTTAGGAATAAACACAGGTGCACACTCTCACTAACACTAACATAAAATGAAGCATGAGATATTCAGTCATTTAATGCACTTTCAAACTTTTTGTCATATATGCAACTACGCATTTTAATGTATTGTTTAATGTACAAACATTCACTTTTAAGTCACCTTTTTATCCAACCAACAGCGAGCTAATGGTAATATATTTTTACTTTCGCACACTGGGTTTAGTTTAAACATGGGAATTTGAATATACAATATATACAATATATACAATCTATTTTTTACTTTGTATTTTTTGTGGTTTTTACATTTTTACTGGAGTTTTTTTTTTTGAGCATTGAGCGTTCTTGCTTATACGTACAACTGCACCATGAGACATTAGAAAAATCACAGTGGAGCAAAGAAAAAGAAAAAATTAAAGGTTCCAAAATAGCAAATTAAAATGCCACTTTCAACAATTTTTGTTTTCTGGTGAAATAAGTAGTTCAACACACACATAAAAATTTCTGTGATATATAATGATTAATATGTCATTATCTGCCATTGTTAAAGAATAAAAATAGTGTTTTTTTTATTGTGTTGTCTTACTGGATTTTTTTTACAATTGATGTCTAATACCATAATGCGTTTCTGGAATTAAATTCTCCAAACCTGTGTTCTAATTTTTCCCCTCACTGAAATGGATTTAGTATACTTTAAGATCCGAAAATGAATGTTTTTAAATTCCATATTTTTCCAGACTTTTCAGATTTACTGGAGAGTTCTGATGCTGAAGAGAAGAGAGGGAGCACAAAGAGACACAGCTCAGAAAGTGGCCAAACACTGACCTGTCAATGCACTGAGCAGCCAGGCAGGCAGTAGTGAGGATCTCTTTCACATGGCTCTGCCAGTTGGAGGCCTCCAGTTTGCTAAGCCAGCGATCCATGCTGTTAGACTGATCATTACAGGCCTCCACTAGTTTAATCAGACTTTCTTGTAGAATATTGGACCTGAGAGAGATCAGATATCACAGCAACAGAAAAAGAGAGGGTCAAAGCTCAAAAAAGAGAGATTTTCATTATATAATCAACCACACATGCATTTCTGCTGAACTACTTCATAAACTATTTCAATTTTCAAGTAAACACACCCATCCCTGTTCTATACTTCTTAATCTCTTGGTAAAGTTGTGTTCATTCACCTCTCAATAGCCTTGTGGATTCTTCTCCACTGTGGGTAATTGGCCTCCTGTTCAAACCCGCCTCCACGAGCCTTAGCATGTTGTGCTACAGCAACAGTGCGTGTATCGATGATGTAACCCCGTTTTCCTGCACGGAGTGTAGCGTTGATCAGTTTCTCATCCTCCTTACAGCGGCGTCCATTGGTTCCAGTAAGTGGCTGCCCTGCTCGCATCATCACCTGACAACAAACAAGGAGACACCATATGTGCATATCCATTCATGCCGAACTGACCTTACAAAAAACTTATTACAAAAAACTCTCCAGACGCATGACTGACCATGCCATTCTTCTTGTGGTAGTAGCTAAGGACTGGGAAGCGGCCACCATGGCGAAATGCAGCAGCTTTGCAAAGAGTGTCATCATCTATGTCCTTGGGTACAGTCACCAATGATGGGTAGGAGGGGCAGACAGTGAAGTCTTTATTCACTTCACTAAGTCTCCATTCATCTGTCTGTCAGCGGAAAAAAAACAGCATTTAAACTGCGCTATATACGTTTTGGGCTGTTTCTCCAGTCCTAGATCAATCCTAAGCCTAGACTATATTTTCAATGGTAAAAGACTATCAGCATTGTGGTTTGGTCCAAGACTACATCAGACTACAGTCTGACAAATCAGCTCTATGAAATATCACCAGTCACAGGCTAAAGACTGCATAAACAGTGAAACTAACCATTGATTCCAGATCTTTGAAGGCCTCCTCTGGAGAGAACAAGTGCCACCCATCCTCAATGACCTCAAACATGGGGCGGTAGAAGAAAGGGTACATCAGGGAGACAGAGTCAAGTGTGGACAACGCCTAAAGAAATAGAGACTTGATGTTACTCCAGGGGTTCCTAAACATTCTTTCCACACCAAGGATATTTTTACCAGTTCCTCAGTAAGCATCCCTACAAAGCTATCACTATCGATTATATCAAATTAATATTAAAACTTGCCAAATATTTTTATGATTAATCGGGTGGTCGGGGTGAGTGCCTGAGTGAGTGAATTAATGAACTGATGAATAATTAAATAAACGAATACATAAATTAAGAGAATAGAACAGAATAGAACCTCTCTGACCATTTAAAAATGGATTCATCTGTCCAATACTAGACCACAGACATCCTTTCAAAGATTCCAAACTATTTTAATGGAAAAGATAAACTAGAAAGCCTTAAAAAGAATGCAGCAAGTGAGTGACAATGACAAAACCAGTGTCCATCACGATCAGCAAAGCTGTTCACAAGCCGTGAGCATCAGAAAGTGATATGATGTGCCACATACGTCCTGTTTCTATTCTCAACAAAACTGTAAGGAAGTGTATAAAACTGGGTCTGTCCATCAAACTCAGTTTCTTACTGGGAGATAGAACAGCAGAAAGACTTAAAAGACCATATCCTACATTTTTCTTATATTTTATTTTCCCTTGAGGTCCACTAATAACATTTGAATGGTTTTATGTATCAGAAATGACACATTTTTACATGACCTTTTTCACACTTCTCAATATCCCTGGTTGTTTTTGTTACTTTTGTGCTTTTGAAACTTAACATATGTAAATGACCTCTGTTCTGACTGGCTACCCTCTACAACACCTCATTCAAAAAGCATCCCTGATACACTCCTTAGAACTGAAATGCTCCTTAAAACTTCAGTATGAACAGGTGGGGCTAAACTACTCTAAGATAAACAGGTAGACATACATATACATGTTGGTTTTTGTGACATAAGAGAAACAATGAATTAAGAACAGGCTATTTTGGAGCTTAGTTTCCATAGGTGGACTATATAGACTGGGAAGTGAATGGTACATTTTGAAACAATGCTTTAAATATACTCTCAAATTCCTTTATTTCAAAAAAGCAAAGGAAATTCAGTTTTCCACAATACGGACCCTTTAAAATATGCATTATCAGGGTATCCATATGCATCAGCATATTATATTTAATGCTTTTAAGACCTTTTCTCAAGAAATGGTATATGCTACCTTGAGCCAGAAAATTCATTAAAAATGTTATATATTTTTTTTCATTACAATGTTCAGCTTTTTAATGACCCACTGATACCCTGATTATCTCAATTCTTTGAGAGGGTAACTTTAAATAGATGACTTTTTAAAAACAAGTTTACTCAAGTAATCCTGAAAAACCTAATCTCTCCTCACAAACGGGACAATATTTGCCTATTGGCTAAACTCCTGGCATAACCTTGTTCTTTTATGATATAACCTTGTTCAGGGCCTTGAGAGTCACTTGTTTTCAACATTTTGACAGGGTAAGAAGCATTAATAAAAAAATTTTATATTGCATTACAAATTAAATGTAAAGAATTAGGAAATAACTTAATATAATTTTACAATGAATCACTGGTTGCCCAGTTTGGGACAAAAGCATTGAGCTGTCCACCCTGTGTAAAGGTAAACTCTACGTGTAGAGTTAAATGAGGTCAGGGTCTCAGACCAAATTAATGATTAAACATTCTCAGCTGACATAGCAACACATGAAAAGTGACAAATCTGACCACAGTTATCTTAGCAAATTATTAAATGCACCTCAATGGAACTGGCGATGTTGAGGCACTCCTCCATGCCAGGGATGTCCAGCTGAATAATTCGCAGGTCCTTGCATTTCACAATAATTGTGCCAAGAGATCCAACAAACCTAAGACAGAGGATTTAAAATGTGCAATCAGTTTCATATTTCTCTTGTATCTTTAAGCAGAAGTACGAAATGCGCATACTTAGATGTGATAACACTCAGTATAAATATATCAAAATTTGAACAGTAAAAGGTTCGGTCCCACTATGGAATTACGTAGTGGCCAAACAGTTTTGGAAATATGTTTATATTTGTATTTGAAACATTTAAACATAAGTCTTCAGATTAAAACCTTAAGTTTCTGCAAGATCTTATGATTTGTATCTGTCTTTAATTTTCTGAAAATATACATCTCGGCAGATGTGTCACCATTTTGACAGGAAGGGTAACACGAAGGAAGAAGCTTCCTTTACATACATAAAGTTACATAATATATATATTATTACTTAATATTATCAAAACAATTAAAAAAAGAAGTTCTGACATTTCTGGTGTTTCTGCTTAACTGCCTTTCATCTTTTGTCAAAGCTTCAATAAAGTGGAATCATTAACATAAATTGATCAAGGCCTCAATTTCAATTTGAAATACATTTTTAGTGCTGTATTTTAAGTAAAAACACAATTTCTATAAAAATGCAAAGACTAGAAATAATGTCATACACTTTATGCCTTAAAGTTTGTAGGAAGCTGCTCATCCAACGTCTTTTCCAAAATCAAGGGTATTAATAGCGTTTGTCCCTGCTAGTTTGTCCCCGCTTTGCCGCAGTAACAGCCTCTACTCTTCTGGGAAAGCTTTACACTAGATATTAGATCACTGCTGTGAGGATCTGGTTGCATTCAGCCACAACAGCATTAGCAAGGTCAGGTACTGATGTTGAATGTTAGTTCTGGATCACAAATGCCACTCCATCTAATCCCAATATTGAAAGGACCTCTATCACTCCAGAGAATGCATTTCCCCTACTCCACAGTCCAATGCTGGGGGGATCTATACTCCTCTAGCTGGTGTTCGGCATCAGGTATGGCCCCCAACAGTGGAGTAAGGTGCCTCTAACTATGTACTGGTTTGTGCATTATCATCATGTAGATGTGAAGTGTTGTACAAATATGATTTAGCTTTACATTAAATGGACATTGTTGTCAAGGGGGGGCTTCCTCCCTCTTCTTCGCCTACTATACATGTAACTGAGGAAATGTAATCAGTTGCCATCCACATCTGTCAGTGGATAATAACTAATAATTACACTTACTCACATGTTCTTATGTAAAAGCCACGTTACAGCAAATATACCTCTTTTCAATGGCATCGATGTTGGAGTGGAGCAGCCAGAGCTCCTCTGTGTTGTCCTGCCGAGAGGACAGGATGAGATGATGTCCGGTCAGACACAGAGTGCCTTCCACTGTGGGCAGGAAAGGACGGTGGAGAACAACACCATCTACCCGTGGGGTCTTTATCAGCTCAGCGAACTCCATTCTGGACAGAAACAACAAATAAGAAGGTCTGTAGGCGATATATGAATCAATTAAATGGGTATTTAGATCTATTTCCGCTTAACTATAACTATAAACTGTTAGACATTTCGTTGGAAATTGTTACAACAGAACACACATCAGTACTCCAGCAACTTGAAGAAGCAATTTTTATGCGAAAAGCTCCTATTATTATTCTATATAAACATGAGGCGTCCAGGTCAACAGAGCCACTCAGTTCTGTGAGAACACCCAGAACACCGTCAGCTGGTTATCATCACAAGCCAGCTAGATAGCAACGTTAGCTTACACAGCAAGAGGAAAAGCGAACCAAAGACTGGTCAGCAGTCGAAATGAAAGCAGAGACAGACGAGACATCATCCAAACAGGGTCTATTCAGACATTTACGATATCTAGCAGTGATTCGCCTTAGTTAGCTAGTTAGCTAGTTAGCTGCTGTATTCGCTCTACGGCGCGTTAGCGATTCATCATCTGGAAGACAAATGTAGCAGAAACACGAGCCATAAACGTAGCTAACTAACTAAAACGAAGATGCAGAAGTACATAGAACTTACATAAACGTGAAATGTCGTTTTTATTAGTGTCAGTAATAAAAACAGAGTGATGTATCATACCTGCTCCACCTGACACTTCTCCCTATTATTTTTCACTTCTTCAGATGTTTACAGCGCGGGTGGCGGAGCAGATTCGTGCCATGTCGCCGCCTACAGTTCTGGATGATGTCAAAGATGCACAATCAAAGGTAAAACAACGCGCATAATTCTAATACATATTTTTGTCAAAATAATTGGCTGCTTAGTGAGTTGTGGTATATACGGAGCCCTGATGATGACATACTGTAATGTGTGGTCATGCCTTATTAACACATTAACACCACGACTTAGTAAGGCATGGGAATGAGATGATTTAGTCGTGGCCATGACTTAGTAAGTTGTGGCCACGCATCAGGATGTCGTTCCCACGCTTTACTAAGTCGTGGCCACGCATTATTTTTATTTATACAGGATGTCACCAGCGGGGCTCCGTAGGGTATCCAATTGTTAAAGACAGGGCAAAAGTAACAGCTGGAAGCCTCAGCATACAACACGGTCTTTTCAAAGTCAATACTTCCACAGTAACTGTGGTTCATTCAACTGTGGTATTCATTTATTCTAGTTTGGGCTCATTATAATACTGATTAGTGCTTTCAGCAATGCTATTTCTCCAGCCCACTGTGAAATCTGGGCTTCAGCAGTGTTTTTATTGTAATGATCATAATCGAAATAGTTGGTTTAGATAAAAAAAGAAGAAGAAAAGAAATGTGGCTTGGAAAAAGTGAACTTTAGACCTTGTATTTATTTATTTATTCATCAAAACCACTATTAAAAAAAAAACCTTGCATGCAGTCAATAAAACTGTACACCTTGACCCAGTGATCAGAATGACTTTTGATCCATGTGACTGCAGGTTCCATGTGGCTGTGACTCCATGTGTGACTTCAGGTTGCTTTTATACATTATTATACATAAATATGATCAAAATCCAACACTTACGATAATGCTGTTCTTGTTATGATGATGGGGATGTTCCAGTTTCCAGTTATAAAAAAAATATATATATATCATGGCACATCTTTGAGTAGTTCTCATTATTTTCTTCAAAATGTCTGCAGGATTAAGTGGTTAGATTGTTTTGATGTAAAATGTGCCATTCCAGCAAAATTGACTGCATCAGAATTGTTCAGAGTGATGGTGGTACGAAATAGACAGCTAAAGTATTTAACATCTCTAAAACCTCCCTCACAGAAAGCTATTACACAAAATTGTTACAAATTCACTGCCTGATGTCTGACACATTGTTTTATGATAGTTTTACAGTGTGGTTTGGCCTAAAATGTATTTTTATTGTACATTCATTGTGGAAAAGTACATGTAGGCTAATTTATTGCCCAAAGAAAACCGCAAAACTGTCTGCTCCTTTGTGCTCTTGAGTGTGTGTAGTTTCTAATCTTGCCCAAGACCAAATCCCAAATAAGAAAACTTTGGTGAATGTCAGAATCTTTGTGAAAACTGCATAAGTGGGTTTTAAGAAAAAAATCTTCTACAACCACACCACTGGTAAGTTTCTCTACAGTGAACCATTTCACATTAAACTACTCTGAATGACTTTGTTTACATGCCACCAATTGAATTATGCAGATTTTTTGAACAAATGTTAAATTTTTTATCTGTTAAATTCCTGTTTAACTTTAGATTCTTTACTGTAACCCAGGACAAATTAGTCTACATGTCCAAAAGTCTGTAGACACCTGCTCATCCAAAGTGTCTTCTGAAATCAAGAGTATTAACAGGAAACATTGCTGTGGGGATTTGATTGCATCTGTTTACACCAGAGGGCCTATTCAAACAGATCATGTATCATAATACAATCAGATAAAGAAGTGCAGGTTTGATCTCTATCATTTATTAGAACAAAACTCAGGGAAATCAGGAGATCTCTGCAAAATGTCAGTAAAATCTTCTCTCACGCTTAAATAAAATCATATAATCTGCTTTAGCGCAGTAGTACTGTAGTAAAGGTTCTCTTGATATACACTAAATAATAATGATACCAAAAAGGGTTCTTTAGAGTGATGCCATAGAGCTTTTGGTTACAAAAGAACATTTCAAAGGATGAAGTTGTTTAAAGAACTTCAACATAATGTAAATGTTCTATATCAGTTAAAGGGGAGTTTTCAAAATTTCTGCTTAATTCAATTGTTAACCTGTAAGTCACAAATTACACCACATGTACAAAAGTTTGTAGACACCTGCGCATCCAAAGTTTCTTCTGAAATCAAGAGTATTAGCAGGAAGCATTTCTGTGATGATTTGGTTGCATTCAGCCACAATGCAAAGGTCAGGCATGATGTTGGATGATTAGTTCTGGATAACAAACCCCATTTCTAATTTATCCCAAAGGAAATGGGTTCACCTTAAAGAAGCGGAATGGTTTGATGTGAAATGCTCTATTTTGGAGAAAAATACTGACTCTGTGATTTCTTTACAGTGGTAGTGATGGGAACCATGGGTCACAATGTCTACAACACAAATATAGCCATTTTAGATTTTGTTTACTATCCAAAATGACCAATGAGCCTACAGTGTTAAAAATGAGAGGTCAGCTCAACTCAAAATGATAAAGTAACTGATTTTGTGGATTTTCTTGAGTTGACTCAACTTGAGAACACGAGAGTTCACACAACTTAAACTTCTTAGTTGAGTCTAACGTTCTCTTAATTTTTTTAGTTCTGTATCTCAGTTAGGTAAATGAAATGAACTTATATTTATACTCAACTTCTCCACTAGTCAGGACTCTTTCCATCACACAATGCTGCTAGACCTCTTGGGTACTCACTTATGGATGGCTATGACATTGCTGGGGCTCAAACTCACAGCCTCCTGTTGGGGTGATGGCTTAGTCCATTGCACCACTCAGGAACACATGAAGCAACTTAGATTTTGTGTGTACAAATGTTTAACACACTGGAGAAAGTATTTGTTGTTTTACCTTTAAAGCACTGCATAGTCTTATGTGGTGCAACTGTCCTTAATAATGCATCCCAATAATTCATCCCAAAGAAGATTGTGAGTTTGAATCCCAGCAATACCATAGCCATCCATATCCCGAAGCCCAAGAGGAGGGCTGTGTGATAGGAGGAGCGCCAGCTAGTGGGGAAACTGAGTAAAAAACACATTCAGTTTTTTTATCTAACTGAGATGCAGACCTGGACACAGTAGCTTGGAGATTTTTAACTCAACTAAGAAGATGAATTGTGTTGAGTCAACTCAAGAAAAGCCATGTAATCAGTTACCATATCATTTCAAGTTGACCAGACAGTGTACATGTATCTTCTGAGTTTTATATTTAATGGTGATGATGGTTAAATAGAGGCAATCCTGAAACAAAAAAAGTTTCTTTGGGGTCTATTTTGCCTCACAATATCCTGTATGTACACCTCTCCCATGGATGGATTTAAAAACATGTCTTAGGCCAAAATTTTATCTCAACTGTCATAAAACTATGTGTCAGGTTTCATAACCGTTCCATATAATAACTCTATCTTCAGAGCCTTCAGAGACATTAAATTCTTCAGACGTCTGATTCCCATCACTGCCACTGTGAACAATTCTAATTCTGTACGTTTTTCTATAACTGCGCCTTTCACATCAAACCCTGAATCACTTTGTTTGTTTCTTAACCATTTAATTATGCAAACAAATCCCTGGAATTCTTTAAAGACTTTTCCGAGAACCATACGCCCAATCCAAGAACAATTTAGGGACCATTATCATTTTTTATAGTATAATTGCAGCAAAATTTGGTTGTGAGTGGAGAGGCCTCCTGTTGAGTGAGGTGATGAGAGTGTGTGGAGCCTCTAGGGAACGGGCTGCAATTGCAACCACTGCATTATTTAGCTTGAGTTACATGTGCACCATGAATCCCACGCTACTCCAGAATATGTGGCTCCATTTGCTCTCATTAAAAATGCATGGAGTTTTGCAGGAAAACAGATTCCCCTGACTAAGAGCTGATATTTTAGTGGCTGTAACCAAACAGAGGTGTCTGTCTGCGGAGGTGAGCTTTGGAAGACGGGAGCGTGCATTATCGGCTCAGGTTTATAGCGTATCGGTTCTCTATATGGTAGCATGAGAACACAGAGGTCTAGAAGTGTCTGCTGCGGCTGCCTCTTATATGGCACTGTAATAATCTTGTCTTTGTGTTGTTATTGCAGCATGACAGCGGTGGCTTGTTAAAAGCCCAAAGGCTATGAAGCATTGCGAGAGCGCTTTGATGAGCCATCCTCCTCGCTGCAATGCCACGACACACTGCATCTCACACACGCTGCTTTGCCACGTTTGGGGCCGCTTTGATAGGCCCTCCTCGCCGCAGTGGCCCAGAAATGCTGGTTATTCCGGGTTAATGCTTCTCATCAAACATCTCTATGAGATTTCCTCTGCTCTGAAACACAAAAAGAGCCTCCAGCTGACACTGACAGAGTGGGCTGACCGGCTCCACTAAAGCTGCTCGAGTGTAATGCACTCCTCAGCGAACTGGCTGCAGTGCAGAAGGCAGCTTACAAACCTCTGCATCTAGCTTTCCCAATTCTCTTAAAAATAAAGGTTCCAAAAGGGATCTTTGGACAGGTGCCATGGAAGAATCATCTTTGGTTCCCTGAAGGACCTTTTAATGGATGTTTCTTTAAAGGAATGTGCAAGCACTTTTCAACTGATTAAAATGTGCATGCCTCAATTGTTAAGATGTAAACAAGTGCATTTAGAGAGGTTTGATGTGAAATGGTGCACTGTAGAGATTTTTTTTTTACAATGGTGGTGAATGGAACCAGGGGTCACAATGTCTACAAAGCAACGACAGCCATTTATTTACTATACAAAATAAACAGTGAACCTACACGTGTTATCTGAGGTTTTATATGTGATGTTGATCTTGGAAAAATAGTGGTAAATCTGAAAAAAAAAAAGTTTTTGGGGGTACTACTTTTCGTTACAATGCCCTGCACCTACAACTCTGCCATGAAAGATTTTTAAAATATAGTTTAGACCTCACAACTATCACAAAATAATGTCTCAGGCATCAGGTAGTGTGCTCGCAGCCAGTTCATGTAACAGTTTTCTGTGATGTCTCTTTTAGAGCCATTAAACTCTTCAGACATCTGGTTACTACTGCCACCAGTGTGAACAATTCTGATTTGGTACATTTCTAAAGAAGGGAGCATTTCACATCAAGTCACTCTGAATGATTTTGTTTACATCTTAATTATTTACTTTTGCAGATATTTTGAAAAATCATTGGAATTCCCTTTTAGTCTCTGCCTGTAGCATATATGATCACGTACCCCAGATAGTAATTTAGACCGTTTGTCCTATTTTCAGTAAAAGACCAGAAAAACCATTGTTACACACTGCCTATTGGCTGCTATTATAAGTGTGCTTTGAGTCAATGAATTTTATGTTCTTTTACTAAGTACAGAAAAAAGGTCTAAATTACTGTCAGGGGTAAGTGATCATATATGCTACGGACAGAGACTAAGAGGGAATTCCAGTGATTTGGAAGAACTACTTTTGGTTCCATAAAGAATCTTTCAATGGATAGCTCTCTAAAGAATCATTTTTCAGAATGAGATGCGTGAGTGTGAAGAACTTTTTTTTAAGTTTTAAAGAACCTCAAGAACAATACATCCAAGCAAAGACCCACTGAGGAACCTTTATTTTTAAGAGTGCAAGCTGCAGATTCAGCAGATCGAGATTATGTTTAAAAACCTAAAAATATTCTTTTAAATAACCTCACATTAATAGGCTATTTAAGGCACCGAGGGTGGGTCTCAGTCCAGTCATCATTCCACAGTATCCCTTTGGCACCTTTATTTGTAAGAATGTAGACAGACTGCAATATTGGAGCATTACATGTCAGGGCTGTATGCTAGATTTATAACAATGAATAACAGTAAAGAAATTTCAATTTAAGAGGACACTACCAGTGTAACTGATTATAAATATTAAATGCAGCAGATACGTCATTCTCTTGTGAATCTACAGGATTATTTAACACACTCATTATACTAATATGCTTTAATTAAGTTTATGATATTATCACTTTATGAAATTCATGACTCAGCTTCATGGAAGGGTCTAAGCCTGCTGGCAGCCTGAGGAATGGAACTGGTCTTAATGTAACAGTTGTAGAGTCTTAATCCCGATAAATGCCTCCCTGGTGGAGGCACAGGTGTTCAGGATTTAGGAGGCTGTGAAAACAGGCAGGACGGTGGTACTGGACAGCCCTGGAATGTTTTTGGCTGCTGTGCTGGTAAATAAAGCGCATATCATATTGTGATCAGATATTGTAGTAATACATGGTAACTTTATATGTGGGCAGTGCTGAGTTCTCTCTCTCTCTCTCTCTCTCACACACACACACATACACACAGGTTTCTATGTGAATCAGGACATGGGGTTGTATTTGACCCATATGATATACATATTGCATGGTGAAATGGTTTGTCAGATTGACTGAGAATGTGTTGTTTATGGTTCTAAATAAAACCTTTTTGAAAAGAGTTCTGTATAGCACCAAAGAAGGTTCTTCTATTATAACAAGCTTGACATTGTAAAACACACTTCTTGGTGTTTTACAGCAACATTTTCAAAAAGGTTTTATTTAGAACCATATACAACACATTCTCCATCAATCTGAAGAAACATTTCACAATGCAGAGAACCCTTTAAACATTCAAATGGTTCTTTGAGTGTTTGTTCTATGCACACTTTAAAAAAGATGGTTCTTCAAGACTTCTTTAGTAAAGAACATGGTTCTTTATAGAACCATGAACACTCAAAGAACCCTTTGCATGATTAAAGAGTTCTTTGCATTGTGATAGCGTTCTTCAGATTGATGGAAAATGTGCTGTATATGGTTCTATATAGAGCCTTTTTGAAGAGGGTTCTATAAAGCATCAAAAGGGTTCTTCTACTGTTACAAGCATGACATCGTAATAATGGATGGACCCTTTTTGGTGCTATAAAGAACACTTTTCAAAAAGGTTCTATATAGAACCATATATTGAACATTATGAAGAACCTTTTCACAATGAAAAGAACCCTTTAATCATGCAAATGGTTCTTTGAGTGTTCATGGTTCAGCATAGAACCGTTTTCTTTACTAAAGAACCCTTGAAGAACCATCCCTTTTAAGGATGGTTCTTGAGAGGGTGCTGTAAATGGTTCTATATAGAACCTTTTTAAAAAGGGTTCTATATAGCACCAAAATAGTTCTTCTAATCTTACAAGCTTGACATTGTAATGATAGAATGACTCTTTTGGTGCTATATAGAACACTTTTCAAAAAGATTCTATATAGAACCATCTACAGCACATTGTGAAGAACGCTTTCATGATGCAAGGAACCCTTTAATCATGCAAATGGTTCTTTGAGTGCTCATTGTTCAATATAGAACCATTTATTTACTGAAGAACCTTTGAAGAACCATCCTTTTTAGGGGTGTAAACAGAACCATTACCTTAACTAAAGAACCCTTGAAGAACCATCTTTTTTAAGAGTGTGTATGTATAATTGTAAAGGTATTCTTTTTTAAGCCAAACCTCAAGCTTAACCTCAGAAACCAAAAATCAGGACGAAACTGTTGGACCCATTTATCTTAGATTTTTGTACATTTTTGTGCTGAAAGCAGATCTTGAGAGAGTCTTGACAGAAACAAAACTTTGATGGCAGGAACTTATATGGACCTGTACAGAAGTGGCTTGTAAGTAAACTGCTCACACCTGCTCACACCACTAATCATGATTCACGGCGTGTTTCACTCGCCTACAGAGACGCATAGTGGCACCACATGGCGCCCACACGATTCCTTATGCTCACAAACTCACAGGGATCTAGTTATCCAACTACCAGATGACACACGTTTTCCACAGTATTCTTTTTTTCGAAGCGGCATCACTGAGTAACTTCAGCACCGCGGACAGTTCCGTTCCTCGCTTGTACAGCATGTAAGAACAGCTAAGAACGATGACAAATTTCCTCAACACTATAAATGGACTTTTCTACGCAGGACAGCAGTCGTGATATGTAAGGGGGGTTGGTGATTCAGGGGAAAGGAAAGGGGAGGATCTGTCTCTGTACCAGTCGTCATCGTTTTTATGCTTCCTGCACGAGCGTCCTTGTTCTGGACAGGCTCTGTTCCGGCAGCAGGGGTGCACGGGACATACTTTATCCCAGCACGCCGTGTGTGCGCGCGACAGACTTCGGTAATGATAAACCTCACGATTTTGCTCGAGTCTGTGACTGGAAGGGGTTAAAGGGGAAAAAAACACGAGCGGCGTGCTCACTACTGCATTACATCATTCAGCCACCCCCTCCGTCCAGTTTTAGGGTTTAAAGCGAAACACTAGGTGGCATCATCATTGAGCAGAGGAGGAGGAGGAGGAGGAGGATCAGGAGGAGGAGGGGGTGGAATCGCGCCTTTGGTTGAGGTGCATTTCGACCGAGAAGCGGGCAAGCAAGCAAGCAGCGCTGCCACTCGCCTCGCGCAGCTCAGGGACGAAGAGAACGGGAGACACGGCAGGGAACACGGCGCGCGCTCGCCATGCGCAGGTGACAGATGCAGCGTCCTGCCAACAGATTGCTTCTCGAGATTAATCTCTGACCCCGTGGCGCTCCCAGACACCTTCCCTTAGAGGAACGGTTGGACCCTCTCTTTCTTTCTCTCTCTCTTTGGTCTCGGAGAGTGGAGGATGCTCGCGCTCCGCCGCGTTGCTGCTGCTGTTGCCGCTGCTGCTGTCGCCGGGACCCCCCATTGTGACGAGCTGCTGCTGCATGCGCGTGCCCCCAAAGCTCCATGGCTCCCTCATTAGGGGTCCCCTCGCGAAACAGGTGTCAGGGAAGTGACGTGGGCAGGCCCGGAAGCCGGAGGTGGGCGCTCGAGAGAGCAAGATGGCCGCGAAGTCCGACGGTCGGGGGGTCGTCACCGGCTTCGCCCAGCTGCACAACCTGGACGAGGTGGGCGCGGGCGGCGGCTGCGGCGAGGACGACCCGCGCGCGGGCAGCTCCTTCCACATCTGCCACTGCTGCAACACGTCGTCGTGTTACTGGGGCTGCCGGAGCGCGTGCCTGCACTACCTGCTGGGCAGGCAGCGGGGGGGCGGCGGAGGAGGCGGCGCGCGCCAGCGGCGGCCCCCCGACGGCGAGGAGCGCCTCTGGCTCGACTGTCTGTGGATCGTGCTCGCGCTGCTCGTCTTCTTCTGGGACGTGGGCACGGACGTGTGGCTGGCCGCCGACTACTACGCCAAGCGGGACTACCTCTGGGGCGGCCTCACGCTCTTCTTCGTGCTTGTGCCCTCGGTGCTCGTGCAGATCCTCAGCTTCAGGTGGTTCGTGCAGGACTACACGGGGGGCGGCCTGGGCTCCGTGGAAGGGCTCAGCAGCGGCCGCAGGGCTGCGGCGGGCTTGAGCGCGAGGGGCAGGTGCTGCCGCATCTCCGTGTGGGTCTGGCAGACGATCATCCACATCCTCCAGATGGGACAAGTGTGGAGGTGAGTAAAAGCGGCACGGCGGGAGAGTTGTTCGCGTGGCGAAGAACCAAAGTTGCAGTGCGCGCGCCGTCGCCCCCTGCACCCTCACTCACAGCCCACCTCAGCTTGCGTTTGGCAGCCGTCACCTGGTTTAAACCGAGCGAGCTCGGAGCGCGTCATGATCTCGCAGCCAGAGTCGCGCCGGTGCGTAAACTTGCGCTCACTTTTACGCATCTCCAGCGCTTTTGCTTTGCTTGGCCAGACGGAGCTGCACCGGCAAAGTTGTGCACTCTTAAAAATGACGGTGCGGAAAAGGGCTCTTTGGAGCGTGGGAGAACCACTTTTCCCTAAAGAACCTTTTTCAGTGGAGTGCTGTTTTTGTAAATGAGATGTGCCTTACACGCTTTAAAGAATCTAGACCATTTAAAGGCTTCTCTGAAAGGCAGACGTCTGAGCCAAGAGCCTGCGTTTGTAAGAGTGTAGATAATCGGGGCGAATCCCAGCCTGACTGTGAGCGAGTCAGTGAGTGAGTGAGTGAGTGAGTGAGAAGAGAGCGTGGCTATGAATGCTGAACAGGCTGGAGTAGTGATGATGAGGCGCGCGTGCACGGTGCATCTGAGGATCCAGCGCCTCCCCTGAGGAGACCCGCTCTCTGCTATCGAAACGAGCCATTACTCCACCAGCCTTTTCTGCCCTCTCTCTCTGTCTCTCTCTCTCTCTCCATCATCACAGCTTAAAGCGACGGTGTGTGTGAGGTGTATGTATGTGTGTGGAAGGCTTTTGCGTAATGTCTGCGCTCGGTGATCAGCACTGTGAGTGCAGACAGAGCAGCAGACTGAACATCAGACCGTCCGTGCGTGCGTGTGTGTGCGTGTGCCTTCTGTTTGTGTCCGTGATAGACTACTCGGGGAAAATCTCTGCAGCAGACAGACGCAGTGCCGGCATGTACGCGCGCGTGTGTGCGTGAAGATTAAAAAAATGGGCTGTTTGGTGTGAGGGAATGATGGTGCGGTTTATTCCTGTGATTATTTTGCGCTCGTTTCTCGTGTTTCTCGTTCGGCTCGGACTCGCGCGTCCATTTGTGCCGGTGTTTTAAAAAGCCACGCTCGCGATGATCAATGCCTCACGATTGTCATGATGTCATCGCTTTCGAGGTGGTGTGGAGCGTTCTCTCTCTCCCTGTCTCTCTCTCTCTCTCTCTCTCTCTCTCTTTCTCTGTTGTGTATATTTCTAATAATTTACAATATAATTTATAACATAATGATATTTAGAATAATACTTGATTATTTTTAGTATTTATTTGTTTATTTTTCAATCCTCACATTAAGCTGGTTAGGACAATTGCATGGCTGAATGCATCATTTTAACTGGGACAGCACCCCCCCCCCAAAAAAAAGTAAATAAATAAAAATAAATGAATGAATGGATGGATGGATGGATGGATGGATAACACATGAATGAATATAAGTGCTGGATGCAGATAAGGAACTCAAAATAAACTGTAATAAAGTGTCAGGTGGCTTGCAAAAGCTAGTAAACTGGAAAAGCTCATGACTGTAACATAAACAGTATTTTGCCTAATTACAAAATATAGAAGGGTAATGCCACTGATTTATCACATTTTCTGCACAATTAAATGATGAAGATGTATACAGAGTCATTCAGAGTGGTTTGATATGTTTTGTAGAAACTTACCGAGTCACAGTGTTTGTTATGGGAGCCAAATGCCTGTAAAAGCACCCTCACAGAAAGCTAATACAAGAAATGGTTATGAATATGCTGCCTAATGTCTGAGACATTGTTTTTTATGCCAGTTTTAAGATAAGCTTTTAAATGCCATCTATAGCAAATATGTACACTTAATGTCCAAGCCCTTCTGACATAAGTGTTCAATCGTGCACATGCAGCTTGTATAAACTCCATAGAAAAGCAATGCCAGTAGAATAGAACATTCTGGAGCAGGCACAAATGAGCCTAAGGTCACCAGACCCAATGCCAGATGTTGGCTAGAGGGGTATAAAGCCTCCCAGCATTGGGCTGTAGAGCAGTGAAACTGTGTTTTCTGTAGTGACTGAGCTTTGTCCAATACGTTAGGGATGAGTTGGAGTCGTGTTTGCAATCCAGAGCTAATCATCGAACATCAGTAACTGACCTCATATATGCTCTTGTGGCTAAATGCAATCAAAACATCTAGTGGAAACCTCTCATAGAGGAGTAGAGGCTGTTACTGCAGCAAAAAAAGACAAACTCCCTATTAATACACTTGATTTCTGTAGAAACATTGGATGAGCTGGTGTCTACAAACTTTTGGACATCTAGTATGTACGGTATAATAGTATCCAAAGAAAAGCTTGCCAAAGAAAAGATTTGCCGCTATTTTACCATCATCAACATAACATTTACAAACTCTGAAGACACATGTAGGTTCACTGGTCATCTTAGATAGTAAATAAAATAGCTTTATTTGCTTTGTAGTCATAGCAACCCCTGGTTCACATCACCACCTCTGTAAAAAATATGAGTCAGTAAGTTTCTCTGCAGTGAACCATTTCGCATGAAACTACTCTGAAAGTTTTCTACACCTCGGTGACTGAATTATGCAGAAATTAAAAAGAAAAATAAGTAGGATTCTCTTTTAAAAGAGTAATTGACTGGGCAAAGCCTAGTTTGAGATCTACCTCAAAATCCATGTTAGATGGGAAACACTGTTCACTATGGTTGTAATGGGCCTGTGTTTTTGTGTAAATGTTTAATCTTGATAGCCATTGGTGGATCTTCCAAAGCCCTTCATTTTTCAAGCACTGCTTCTCCAGTATCACTCTCTGAGCTTTTAATATGACCAAACATTCCCAAACGTTGTTTGGAGCCGGTATCTTCCCACACTGCTGCTGAGCGCTTATTACAGTCATTTCCACATTAAAGCTACTAAGACGGGGCGGAATTGCTCAGCCATTCATTAGCACGCTCCACTTTCGGTCATGGGCGAAACGTTCTGTCAGAGGCGTAACACTCTGTAACAAAAAAAGTAAACCAGTAGTTGTTTGACTAACAACTGAAAATACAGTAACATTAAATATGTTAGTATTTTATGTTGAAGGGACTTAATCTGTGTTCTCAATCTATTGCATTTGATTGAATGGAAATGTGTGGTATAATTCAAACATATCTTAGAATTCTTGCATTTATTTGTCCCTGAGGTCCACATTTGTGTGGGTTTACATACCATATATAGTCATTATTCATTTTTCCGTCCTCCCTTTATCCTAATTAAACAGGCTGTTTTTGTCCTTTAATACTGATATATGTAAATGAGCTCTGTTCTGTTTAGCTGCACCTCATTAAATTACACCTCATTCCAAAAGCAGTCGTATAACTTCACTGTGACTGGCTAGACTGTTTTAGGCTAAATAGGTGGCTATATGTTAATGTGTTGGGTTTTGTGACATTACAAAAAGATTGATTTGCAGCTTAGTTTCCATGTATGGACCATAAGGACTGAGAGGTGAATGGTATATTTACAGTGTTTACACAGAAGCCTATATCAAACTCAAGATAGAAAAACAGGTTTCCCTTATGTGGCGTTCATCAGGTTCATACAACTCCTGAGTGCAGAGATGTAATACAATGAGCGACAGCATCACCAGCTGATGAGAAAACCACTCCTCCTCTGGAGTGCTTCTTTCTGCTAGCATGGCGTTAGCGTTGTAGTCTGCCACTAGAGCAGCTCTGCAGGCAAGACCCCAGGCTGACACCACTAACGTTAGCTCCACTAGCCAGACAGGGTGAGCACTGTGGGGGGTAAAGGGGGGAAAAGCGCCTGAGGCGTTCTTCCCCAGTCAGTTATGTACTGCACACCGAGCCCTTGGGCTGTGGAGACATGAAAACCTCAGTGTGTGTGTCTCGGCAGTCTGAGCAGCTTTGTAAGCCGACTGCACACACGCGCACACATACGTTTATTGCTATCACGATCCACCTGACGTGCTCCATCTGTCTGACATGGTCTGTGTGTTTCTGCTGCATTCCAAGGCTGTGTGAATCTCTGGAGAGCAGAGTGCACTCTCAGTGTCCTTTTTTCCCCCCAAGCCATAGCGATAGCATACAGAGTCTGCCTCTGTTAAAGACTTTCCCTAGAACTGCCACTTAATACTACATATCCCCGTCTACTCCTACTGTAGCGGTTGGTGTAGCATAGTGGGTAATACTACAGCAGAGTGGGGTTCAATTCCCCATCTGGGTAACCACATCACACTACTAAGAGTACTTGGGCAAGACTCCTAACCCCTGGACAACAGCTTCTGCCAAGTGCCTTAAATGTAAATGTACTCCATCATGTCCAGCTCTTAGGCACACTTCAGTCTTCACCAGACATTTTTTTCGTCTGTGGAACATATTATTGTCTTTCTATGTTTTTGTGGGAAAAAGGGATCTTTGGAGTGATGACATGGAACCACCTTTGGTTCCTTTCATTATATTTATAATTTTTTATTCTTAATTGAAACCACTTATCTGAAAGGTTCTTTATCAAAAGTGGTTCTTCTATGGAACATACACTATTTGTACAAAAGTTTGTAGACACCTGCTTCCCCAACGTTTCTTTTGAAAATCAAGGGTATTAATAAGGAGTTTGTCCCTTTTTATTGTAGTAACAGCCTCTACTTATCCAAGAGACTATATGCTAGACTTTATACTAGATGTTTGAACATTGCTGTGAGGATTGGATTGCATTTAGCCACGAGAGCATGAGTGAGGTCAGGTACTGATTTTGGATAATTAGCTCTGGATCAAGAACATGCACTCTAACGTATCCGACATGAGCCCAAGGGTTATCCTTCTCTAAGCAACGATTGGCACTGGCCATGGTGATCCTAGACTCATGTGCAGCTGCTCCAAAGCATCTCATTTTATTAGCAATACTTTTTGTGGACCTTATACAGATTATATATTGTTTGTCCATAAATGAATGCCTGTGTCAGCCATGTATGTATATATATACGCATACACACAAAAGCATCCAGACAATA